AAAAAAAAAAACAAAAATTGAGCATAAGCCGGGCGTGGTGTCGACCAAATTCTACCCCAGCAGAGGCAGGCAGATCTGAGTTTAGGCCAGCGCTGTTCACCTAGGCAGTTTCAAGACAGAAAGGGCTCTATAGAGAAACCAGGTCTCAAAAACCACCACCAACAAACAAACACGAACACTGAGCAGCACAACATCCTGCTTTAAAAACTGAGAAAGAAACTAGCCTAGAAGACGTGAAGAGGATGAAGCCGTCGAGAAAACACCATATAGTGTCAGTTCCACACAGGGAAGTTTCTCGAACATGCCAACCTATAGATAGAGTCAGGAGGTGAGTTCTCAGCTCCCGGGGATGGGGGGCAGGAATTTCTGTGCTAGAAGTATATTTAAATTATGCTCTTCCAGAGGACCTGGATTTGATTTGCACACCCATGTGGCAGCTTACAACTGTCTATAATTGCATTCTCAGTTGATTCTACTGCTGGATCTGTGAGCACCCGGCACACACATGGTGTGCAGACATACAGGCAAGCAAAACACCCATACACATAAAAAAAAAAAAAAGTTAAAAAAAAAAAAAAAAGATTTGAGCCAGGGTCTGGTGCAGGGGCCTCAGAGGCACCTGAGGACCTTAGATTCTAAATCACCTGAAAAGGCGTGGGCCTGCGAGCCTTTTGAGGCCCATCTACTTCCTCCTGGCCAAAACAATGGAGTCTGAGGTCTACTGAGGGGGCCCTGCAGGTGCCAGGGCAGCATCCTCAAAGAGATGGGAAGGAAAACCCGGTGCAGACTGACTTCATGGACCTGGACCAGACTCGGGGAGTCTAACGCCAGGCAGTTCATTGCCAGCAAATCTGAAACAGTACAATGTGGGAGAAGGTTTCCAGGCAGTAATCAGTTCAATCGTTCCCATCCCAGGTGCACACTAAAGCTTAAGGTGTGACTGAGAACTTCTCTACAAAGTACGTGTGACCACGAGGGTGGGCCTAGGATCTAGTGACGTCTCGGACCAATAGCATAGAGGCCAGCAGGCCATAAATACATGTGACATCTTCCCTAAGGATGGGTAATGGTCCAGGGAGGGAAGAATCTGGGGTAATCATTCTGGGAGACTTGGATGAGGTCTGCCTCTATAGCAAAAGGTGGGTGAGGTCTGCCGCCACAGATAGCAAAAAGGTCAGCAGGTTGTTAACAAAATCCAACTCCTGGGCCTGGAGAGATGGCTCAGCAGTTGAGAGAACTAAATATTCTTCGAGAGGACCTGGGCTCAATTCCCAGCACCCACATGTCAGCTCACAGCTGTCAACTCTAGTTCCAGGGGACCCAACACCCTCACACAGGCATACACACAAGTACAACGCCAATGCTCATAAAATAAAAATTATATATATATATGTATTATTTTATATATATATATAATATATAGAGATAGATAGATGGATGGATGGATAGATAGATAGATAGATAGATAGATAGATAGATAGATAGATAGATCCTCCATTGAGAAGAGGCCCCTGTGTGTTTAACATTCTTGGTTTCCTAGTGATCTGTGGGCACAGGGACCTTTGTGCCCCAACACTCTACTTCTGGCCTTGAGTGGAAACAGCTCATTGTAAACTACTTAATCATCACACAGCAATGTCACCTATTGTTAGGAATTAATCCAGGACCAAGGAAAAGGCTCAGCACATACAAGCCTCTGCCACCAGGCTTAAACAGCATGAAATTGATCCCCAAGGTAGGAGAGAACTGGCTTCTACAAGCTGTCCTCTGAACTCCACACCCATGCTGTGGCATGCACCCTGCCCTCCCCCGCCCCACCCCCAAAAGCACACACATGCACAAGTTTAAAAAAAATAAATAAATAACTGTGACTTAGAAGAAACTTAAGAGGCTGAAGAATTGGCTCAGCAATTCCGAGCACTGGCTGCTCCTCCGGAGGACCTGGTTTGGCTCTGTACCTGAGCATTCTTGGAAAGACGCTGTCCGCAGAGGCCGATGAATTAATAAAGACAGCAGAGACTAGGCAGGATTTAGCTGTTACCATCAGATAGCCTAATTTCTATTGGGTTATCTTTAAGCCTGTCTTCAGTACCAGATCCAGTGTCATGATAAACAGACACAAATTTGCAGTGTATTAACGTCATAAAGCCCCATTCGATGGCACCCGAGCCTGGCTGTGGCTCTTCCGTCTGCCCTCTCTGCTCACTTGATGGGTTTTGTTGGCTAGCTTGCTTCTTTTTCAAGACAGGGTTTCTGTGTAGTCATCGCTGTCCCAGAACTTGCTCTGCAGAACCATGTATTTTTTTAAAATACCTTGATTTATGACTTTCTATGTTCTGTTACTATAAAAACTCCATGAAACTGTTTTCACGTTGGAACATAGAACTAAATTAGTTCAGTGATCCCAGGCTTAGGTCATTCATGTCTGGCTCTAGAGTAAGCTATCTCTTATTCCATTTGAGGTGACAGCTGTAAGGGGGTTGTTTTGGGGTGTGAATGTGTGTGTGTGTGTGTGTGTGTGTGTGTGTGTGTGTGTGTGTGTTGACATTTCCCAATTCCCATGGCAGCTCAGAACCTTGTGTAACTCCAGTTGCAGGGATTCTGACGCCCTCTTCTGGCCTCAGCGCGCAACTGCATTCACATGCATATACCCCACAACACACAAATCTACACATAGACACATAATTAAAAATAAAACAAAATCTTGTAAGGTGTTTAAAGAGTTAATCCCGCACAGCCTGCCAGTCGGAGTCCTCCCCCGCCCCAGGGAGTCTGAGTCACCTGAAGGAGTGGGGGAAGCCTCCCCATGCAGCACTCCTGGTCCTCCACACGCATCCTGCGGATGTTCTGACTCCTAACTCAGAAAAGCACTTTTCCTTGTCTATGTCTTTTGTTTGTTAGGATACATGCCAAAGTCTGGCCATGCTCTCCGTGGTGCTCTGGGCCTTCTCGCTCATTCTCTGAAGTGCTACCCCGCCCCGATTTCCACCATGCCGCTGCATGCCAACCTCCATGGCAAAAGGGGTTGTTTCCTCTCTCCGTCTACCCGGTCCATTTCTAAATTATTTTATTAACCAGACTAAGAACCCAGCAGGACAGGTGGGGATCGGAGGTCGATGTCTGATGTCTTCCTGGATCGCTTCCCGTCTCATATTGAACCCAGGCTTGCTGATTCGGCTACACAGGCTGGCGGGCGGAGCCTCCCAGCCCCAGTGCGGCATGCACCACCACACCTAGATCTGTATGACGGGGCTGGGATCTGAGCTCACTTCCTCGTGCGTGGCCAGCAGGCACTGTGGGGCTCTCTCCTCACTGTTTTGTTTTCCTGTAGGGTTTGTGTTGTGTGTTTGGCCAGGGATGGAACCCAGGGCCTTCAGTAGGCTAGACAAGTACTCAGCCTACACATACTGAGCCTTGTCATATCTGATCTTCATGGAGACCCAGGCGGTGGTGGCACACACCTTTGATCCCAGCACTCGGGAGTCAGAGGCACGTGCATCTCTGTGAGTTCAAAGCCAGCCTGATCTACAGAGTGAGTTCCGGGACAGCCAGGGCTACACAGAGAAACTCTATCTCAAAAAATCAACAACAGAAAAGATTGTTTCTCTCCCTCCATCATGGAATCTGGGCACTGAACTCAGGTCTTTTGGCTTACGTGGAAAGCACCTTTACCTGCAGGGCCATCTCCCTGGTGCAAAGGACCAAACTTCAAGTCAGTCCTTGAGCGTGGCCTTCTAGCGCGCTGGAGACCACCTCAGCGTCTTCAGAAGCTCACTGGAGCCGTCCTCTCCTAAACGCCCAGTTCTCCCTGAAGGCCGCGCTCCAGTGCCTGACGGGAAGCGGGCCGACACAGTCCCACGGTGACACCCTCACCCCAGTGCCGAGGTCTCACTCACCCGACAGGACCAGCTCCATTGATGCTGCTGTCCATGTCCAAGTCAGGGTTCTTCTGTGTGGACTCCTCCTCAGACTTCCTGCCATGGGGGGCAGGACACAGTGAGAAACGCTTGAGAAAGACCCACACTTGTTGTTCCACACACAGTGTAGGGAGACTGGCTGAGTTTCACCGCTGCAGAGCCATGTCTAAAAGCTGGAGAAGCTGCCTACGGAGACACTGCAAGCACCCCGCTAACCCTCACCTTCCAGAACATTCCCTCCAGAGAGTGGGAGACTCAGGAGGGGGGAACGGGCAGGAAGGCGGGCCTGAGCCCGGACCCCGGAGCACTGACCTGAAGGTGATGAGGCTGGTGTAGATGAGGGGCGGGCAGAAGAAGCCGAGAAGCAGGGCCCAGATGGGCGTGGTGCTGTCCATCTCCCCCCACCACTTCTGCGTCAGCAGAGACTGTGGAGTGTGGGAATGGTAGAGCCTGAGTCTCCACAGCACCCAACCCAAGACCCTGACAGGGCGCGGAGCAAGCTTCCACATGCGGGTCTCAACTGTTAGAGTTTGGGGGACACTGGGCAAAGGCAGCCTCCTCAGGTGTACCCAGTAGAACGGAACATCCAACTTTTTTTTTTTTTTAGTTTTTCGAGACAGGGTTTCTTTGTGTAACAGCCCTGGCTGTCCTCGAATTCTTTCTGTAGACCAGGCTGGCCTCGAACTCACAGAGATCCGCCTGCCTCTGCCTCCCGAGTGCTGGGATTAAAGGTGTGCGCCACCACTGCCAGACCAGCCAACTTTTCCCTTAATGTGTCTGGCTGTTTTACATGCATGGATGTCTGCGCACCATTGTGATGGCTAAAGCTATGTTTTGTTATAAAACAAAAATGTTTCAGATTTAGCTCAGAAATTGTGGTAGTGGTCTTATTCTTACCCAGTGGGACAACACTTTGGGCATGGGTGGCCAGGTAAGTGAGTAGAGGGAACAGATCCCATAGAACTGGAGTCACAGGTGGCTGTGAGCGCCACATGGGTGGCAGGACTCAAACTCAGGTCCTCTGCAGAGCAGCCAGTGCCCTTAACCAGTGAGCCATTCTCCAGGCCCAGAGAAGGCAACTTTTATTGACATACAGGGCAGAAGATCTGTGAAGCACCTTGCAGGGACCAGATCACTTAACCCCAGAGGTGGAGTACTAGTCTTTTCTCCTTTTCATACACAAGATTGTTCAAAAACAGAGAAAAACAACCAGTAATCAGCAGAGCTGGAATCCATGAAGGTCACCATTGCTGAACGCAGGGGACGCTGAAGTGCCAACTAAAATCATCTCAACAGGTAACAGCAGGACCTCTTGCTGGGATAAACCAGACTTCCTGTTAGAGTAAACTGGACTTCCTGTGAGTGGACGGAACTTCACTGAGTGTGGGAATGTCTGAGCTCCCTTCAGATTTCAATTCCTGATATTGGTAGTTTTCAAAATGTTAGAGTGTCCGGAGTGGAGAGCGTGGGAGTGAACGGGGCTTTCCCACGGGGAAGGATTTCCTAAACCAAAGCTTGTCTCCCACACGGGAGTCATTAACTGTGGGGGGCAGAGCTGCAAACAGTGTCCAGTGGGAAGAGCCTCCTGTTGAGGTGGCCGCACTTTCTTTGGGAGGAGTGGGATTGCCTGTGGGAACGAGAAGGACTTCCTGTATGAGAAATGGGACTTCCTGTCAGCAACAACACCGCCTGGCGGCCAAAGCTACAGAGGGTGGGTCTTGCTGTGGTGGCAGGCAGGGTCTTCTCTGGAAAAACAGACGTCATGGGACGTTCTCTAACCCGGTGGGTCTCAACTTCCCAACGCTGCGACCCTTTAATGCAGTTCCTCAGGTTGTGGTGACCCCCAACATAACATTATTTTCGTTGCTACTTCCTAACTGCAGTTTTGCTACTGTTATGAGTCTTAATGTAAATACTGTAACGTAAATATGTGGCATCTATGAAAGGCTGTTCACCCCCAGAGGGGCGGCGACCCACAGGCTGAGAGCCACTGTTCTAGGGACACGCTGTCTGAGTCACATGCTCACCTGCACCCCATCCTGGGCAAAGAACGAACGGGCATCGGCCTGCATGGCAAGCTGAAGGCAGGTGGCCTCTCCCCACAGGGGACAGCGGCGGAGAAGCAGGCGCGCGGCTCGCTCCTCACTGTTGTGGTAGCACTCTCCAAAGAGGTCTGGGGACCAGAGGGTCCGGGTGAGGGCGGATGGAGAGAGTGGAGAGGCGCCCCCCCCCCTGCACCCCCCCACACACACACCCGCACACCCGCAAGGTCCTCCCCCAACTTCCCCAACACACCCACACTCATGCTCTCAAACTTGGCTGCCAGGTCTTTCCGTCGGGCCGCCTCCTCGGCCTCCCACTCCAGACGAGCCATCACCCGGAGAAGGAGACACGCCCCAAGGGCCGAGGCCACCGAGTTGGAGCCCTGGAGAGACAGGAAGAGGCCAAGGGTTGACCCAGGGTTAGCAGGGTCGCTGGCCTCACACTCAGACAGACTAGCTGAGTGGTGCTTGGGAGCACTGGGGGCTGGGAAGACAGACAGTTGTACACAATGTCGTCACTGTTCTTAAAAAAGTTCTGAGTGTCTATGGTGTGTGTCACGTGTAGCATTCACAAGGTTGAGGCAGGAGACTCACAGGGTCCAGGCCAGCCTGGGCTACACAGGAAGACTCCATCTCAGAAGACAAAACTAGGGTCGGGGATGGCAGTACCCACGGGGTGGGTGCCTGCCTAGTGTGCACAAAGCCTTAGGTTCGATTCCCAACACCACATGAACCAGGGACAGTGGTACATGTTCAAGAAGACCCTTGGCTAATATCAAGTTCAAGGCCAGCCGAGGCTATTCACGACCCTGCCGCAAAACAAACAACAGGAAAGAGGAAGAGTGCGGGCTGGGTGAGGTCAGAGGTCAGAGCAGCCCAAGGGAGCCTGGGTGTCTGTAAGTGCAGAGGCCAAGGTGAGGATTCCAGAATGAGGATCAGCACTGACCTTCTCCCAGAAATAAATGGCCATCTGGGCTCGGTTCAACAACAAAGCCCAAATGAGCAGGTCACTCCAGGGCGCTTGTTCGAAGCTGGCATCCGCTGATGGTTGCATGGAGGCCCAGTCCAAAAGCAGTTGATCCTGAAAGCAGAGAGACTCTGCAAAGCCTGGCCCCACCCCTGAGCTTGCCACACCCTCTCAGACACTGCCCTCGCCCATCGTACTGTCCCACCATGCGCCTTGATGGTCCTTACATTCTCTCTGCAGTCCTGGCCCAGCTGGGAGTCTCGGGTGTTCCTGGCCGGGTACCGCGGTGCGCATGTTTCTCCCAACAGTGTCCTCAGAACTTGCCCCACATTAGGAGGCCGGGGCTCCGCGGCCCCGTCTTTTATAGGTGGGGCTCTGCCGCTGCCACCGTGTGACGCCTGGTCCAGAAGAAGCCGGATGAGTGAGTTAGGGGACACCGCGCTGTAGAGCTGGGCCAGGCGCAGGGGGGTCAGGAAGTGTCCCAGGCTAAGGCCGTGGGAAATGAGCAAGCGCACGAACTCAGGCCGGTCATTCAGCAGGGCATCCATGAGAGAGGCCTCCAGGTGGAAAGACTGTGGAGAGGGGGGATGGGACCGTGATAAGCCAATACAGACCTGGGAACTCGGGGGCCAAGGACAAGAGATCCAGGCACAGTGCCACAGCGAAGGGACTGGTGAGTGGATGGACGGATGAGTGAGGGAGGGATGGGTTGATGGACGGGCAGATGAAAGGATCCATGGGTGGATGGATATACGGAGTAGGTTGGTGGGTGGATGGACGGACATCGTGAGTGGGCGGATAACGAAGGTGACGGATGAACGGTTGGTACAAAGGGAGACGAGGAACAAGTCAGGGACAGAGGAATAACCAGAGGTGAGTGGACAGCTGAGGGAAGGCTGGACAGATGCCAGTGGAAGGCAGGACCAGGTGAACAAGAAGTCGGCCAGGAAGGAAAGGGGGCCGGCTGCAGGGTCTTCAGCCCCTGGCCCCGACTCCTCACCCGCCACTGGATGTCTCCGCGGAAAAGTTCACTTTGAGCAATGTCCACACGGTTCCAAGCCACAGCCAAACGCAGCTCATCCAGGTACGCTGAGGCCTCAGAGCTCCCACAGGCTGGAAGGACGAGAGGGGGAGGCGGCGTCTCAGGGGAAAGATGGGAACGTCCGGCAGATGTCCACTTGGGTGTTCCTTCATCTATAAAACTGGAGTCGCAATGGACCTCTTGACAGCAATGTTAACATTGACAAGAAGTAGTTCCAAATGGGGGCAATCTTCAGCTTGTCCAGCATTCCCTAAGGTTGATGGCTGGGCCAACAGAGGTCCAAAGAGGGGCAGGACCACACAACTTCCCGTTTCATTTTGAAAAGCAAAAATGTGAGAGTGGACTTACTACTAAGTAGTAATCTCTTCTGTAATCTCTTATACTTTTTCCAAAGTATCAAGAGAAAGAAAGCAAACGGTTGATAAGCTTTTGCTGATCCACGGATGGATGGGTGAAGGGATGGGTGGAGATGATGGTGGTGGGTAGGTTGGAAGAGGGATTGGTGAGCAGATGGATAGATGAATGAAGAGTTGGGTGGACCAGTGGATGTATGTCCCCTTAAAAAATTCCCTGTACCTTAACTTGACGTCATTTAAGGCGAGAGCCTCCCACCGCTACCCTGCTTGCTCACGCTGTACCACACCATCTTTCCTGAGGCCAAATTACTCAGCAAGGCAACCCCCGGGATCCGCCCATCAATCCCTGAGCCACCATGCCATGCCTCCCATCCAGTCCCCAGGGCCACAGCACATTTCAAGTGCCACAGCCATGCTCAATGTGACTGCAGTCTCATGGTCTCATCTCTCCAAGCCAGACTGCTCTCCCCACTCACAGGGGCCGCTCCAACATAGGCTGGTCCTGGTGCCCCACCCCTGCTTCTCAGGGGAAAGTCCTGGCCTGCAACTCCTCTGCTGGGAGGGTCTGCATCCCTTGCAGTTCCTGACTACAGCTCTCCCTGCCATATATAAACTATTAGGCTCTTATCTCCTCAGAAATATTGCATGCTAGAGACCACATCACACAAACCTAAATCCTCAGCCACAGAAAGGCATTAGCTGAGGAACTAGCACAAGTTACTTTCCTCACTCTGAGCCTCAGCCAGCTGCAGTGGTCACACCAGCCTCTTCAGCCAGCTACAACCCATACCCACCAGCACATCTCACAGAGTGGTGAGATTTAAGATGAATGGAAAGATGAATAAGTGGATAGAATTGTTGATGGATGTGTCAATGACTAGTTAAAGGACTGGTGAGTGGTTAATAATTAAAGGTGGATAGATGTATGGGTGAATGGATGGACGGACAAGTGAGTGGGTGGGTAGGTGAATGAGTGAATGCATGGCTAGATGGTTGGATAGATGGACAGAGAGACAGGTAGGCAGATGGGTGAATAGATATATAAGTGGATAGATGAATAGACGGACAAGTGGATGCATGGATGCATGGATGGGTGGGTGGATGGATGCATGGATGGATGGATGGATGGATGCATGGATGGATGGATGCATGGATGCATGGGTATATGGATGGATAGGGGATGGGTAGGTAGATGGATGGATAAGTGGGTGGTAAATGGGTAGGAGGCTAGATGAAAGACAGATAGGTGAAGGGAAACAGATGAAGAATGAAGGATGAGTGAAGTGGTGGGTAGATGAAGATGTGAAGAGATTAATGGACTTATGGATGAGTGGATCCAACAGGGAAGTGGCATTTGAAAATAGTGAAAGTGTCTGGAGAAAACTGTCCAGCATCATCAAGCAGAAACCAAAAGGAAAAAGATGAAACACCAAGGGGCGTGGCCTCAGGCTTAGAGGATGGAGGGAGGAGAGAGGGCCACCAAACATCTGAGGACAGCGTGGGAGGCCCATCCTACCGTTCACAAGCGCCCTCAAAACGATAGTCTCAAACTCCTCAGAGCCGTCTTCCGAAGAATAGATCGTCAGCAGCTCCTTCCGGGTCATGATCCTCTCTACCTGCAGAACACAGAACTCTAGTCCCCAGCCAAGAGCTGTGGTCCCACTACCCTTAGGGCATGCCAGCCAGGGTGCCCGGCTCTTCCCGCTTGGTTGCACAATGCCATACCTGGGCCTGTAGGACCTCGGGGTCTCCCTTAGGGAAGTACCGCTTAATCCGATCTCGGGCTTCGCCTCGCCTCAGTCCCCCACTCCCTGGGGCCAGAGTATCTTCCAGGGTCTCCACCAGGCAGTCTGCAGCACCCCCAGAGCCGGCCACCAAGAGGCAGGGGAGCCGAAGCTCAGTGGCATCTTCTATCCGCTTCAGGAACAAGGGAGAGCTAATCAGGGTCCAGTCCTCCAGTCCCCACATCCCTGAGATTCTGGACAGAGAGTCCTGGTCCTCAGCTCTCCTCCCACCTCAGACACAGGCATGCAGCTCCAGATACCTTCAGCATCTTCTCATCACCATCGATGAGAAGAAGTAGTACAGGGATGTCAATTCCAGTCCCTGAGAGAAAGGGGGAAGGGGAACTTGGTCACCTTCTGTCAGCCTTTGCTGGGGATGGGGAAGAACTGCATTTCTCAGCAGTCCCAGGGCAGACAGTGACCTTGGCTCAACCTTGTGGCCAGTACTCATGGGAATTGTCATTCTTCTTATTCTTTAAATAAAAATTTGAAAATGTGTATTACATTTATTTATATTATATTACATTATATAGTGTTGGGGGCATGGTGCTCACAAATAGGTGGAGGTCAGAGGACCATCCGTGGGAGTCTATTCTCTCCTGCTCTGCGGGTCCTGGGGTAGACAGCAGCAGACAGCAGGTGCCTTTGCTCAGTCACCGCACTGGCCTGGAAACACTGTCACTCTCCGTGAACTTCGAGGTGGGAAGGAGATTTTATTACTAGTATGTGTTTTGTATGGTGTGTGTGTGTGTGTGTGTGTGTGTGTGTGTGTGTGTGTGTGTGTGATCACGAGGATGAGAACAGGTGTGCACGTGCCATAGTGTTTGTGTGGAGCTGAGGACAAGCTCAGGTCCTCACCTTCCGCCCTGTTTTGGAGAAGGTCTCTTGGTATAGACACCGCTGCACAGTGCATACACCAAGTCAGCCATCTCCGTCACCCATCTCACCATAGGGGAGCTGGGATTGCAGATGTGTGCTGCTGCAGCCAACTTGTTATGAACCCCAAGATCCTCACTCTGGCAGAGCAAGCACTTTCTCTGCCGGTCACTTCCCAGCGTCCTCATCCCACCCCCAGACTTTTTAAGACAGAGTCTCATGCACCCAGGTCTGGCTTCAAACTCGTTATGGAACCAAGGACAACCTGGACTTCTGACCTCCCGCATTCTTCCCGCATTCCCCTCTTGAGTGCAGGGAGGACATCTCAGCACCAGTGCCAGAAGTCAAGGGTGGGGCCCCCTAACTTCAGAAGGGAGGGGGAGCTAGGAACCTGGACTCTTGGCTCCTGAGTCACTCTTACGATTGGCTAACTACTCCAAAGCCCAGCGAGGTGAAGGTTCAAGGAGCAAAGGAAATACAAATACCAAGACAGTCCAACAGTGAAAGCGTAAAGGTGATTGGGTGGTGATTCTACACCCCCACCAGGCCTGTAATCCCAGCACTCAGGAGTTCCAGG